AAAAACCATATACCTCCTAATTGCCTTGGCTGGTTACAACATCAGTTCTGCTCTCTTTCTGTGAGCAAGAACCTTTCACATGGCCTCATCTAGACTCCAGGGGGCAGGGTACAGAACAGTCCCCAGATAAGTGGTCACTCCCAACCACACCTGTATATCACAGGAGGAGGAACTAGCAGACTTTGATGAGGAATTAGTTCTAATGGTTGATAACAGAGTAGCGTGACTATAGTTAATAACAATGTATTGTATATTTCAAAATACCTAGTAGACAGGACTTAAAATGTTCCCAACAATTAAAAATGATAAGTTCTCAGGTGATGGACATCCTACATAAACTGACTTGATCATTACACAGTCTACTCTTACAACAAAATATCACATGTACCCCCCAAAATATGTACAAATATTATGCATCAATAAAAAGATTACCCAAAAATGTTTAAGGAATTTCTATCTCTTCCTCTCTAGGGAATTTCAGATACCCAGGAATACACCTGCCAGTTATACACCTGTCACAACAAATGAGATATTGCTCTGAAATATGATAATGTTTACTCCCTAGAGAAAATGTATTGTGTCCTCATCATAGAAAACACCTAGATTATGTTGTCTCAAAAACAATCTCATGAAAAAAAAATAATAATCCCATCAGATCAACTGACCACTGATCTATGCAGAATAATATATGCTATGTTTTTTTATTTTTTTTTCTTCCCTCTTAGCTGAACAGCCACGGCTGCGTCTCTCAGCAAGTAAACACCAAGGTCTTCCAGATGAAGAGGGAAGGGTATCAAATGAAACTGGACATGGAGGCCAATATCAAAGAAGAAGGAACAGGTTTGTATACCACCTGGGTATGGGAGAAAAAACAATGGACATTGATGTAACATTTTAGCCAAATTATGAACTGTAAAGGAGGAGGTAGTATAAGAAGTTCAGGGACATCACACTTCCAAAAACAACTTTGTTTTCTTTCTTCTTTTTCAGGAGTGGAATTAACTGGAAGAGGATCCACTGAAATCACGAGAGCCATAACCAAACTCTCATTTGTGAAAGTGAACCCTTACTTTAGAAGAGGGATCCCTTTCTTTGGACAGGTGGAGTATTTTACAGTTCACTGGTGATCCCATGGATTGTTACCTAATTAGCAAAATAGGTACAGTTTCTGCTGAAACCATAGCTGATTAATGTTATCAATTAATATAACCGAAGGTATAAAGCTACATAGAAATAGATTTGTTGCTGTGTAAATTTGTATATGAAATGTATAAAATTATTCTAAAGCTCCATTGAAATTAGTAGGATTTTTTAATCACTTTTGGAACAGTTTTATATGATATCTCTCAATTTCCTTTTCATGGTTTACTATGCAGACTCAGTTTTCAACACATTTTCTCAAAGAAATCTCAAATTTTATGTTGACCATTTATACTATCCTTCTAACATTAACTTTGTAAGGAAATGCGTAGGCAGGTGGTTTTAATTTTTATTTTCAAGTAGTAAAGATTCCACTATACCTAGTGTTTCTTTTGTGGGTTACATTACTTTTCTATTACTTACATTACTTTTCTATAATGACAAGTTTATTTTTAAAACAGTAAACCTGGGGGTAAAATATTGCCATTTAAGGTTTCCAGATTTTTAACTTATAAATTTGCACACAAATCTACCGGAAATCTTACATTGTGGTTTTTCTATCGTAAGCAGATGTGCAAATGGACCTTTCTGATTGCAGAAGTCTGGAATGGCAGCTGTAGGCTCCTCAATGTGCAATAACTGTGTGTCATGTTCCTGATAGAAATGTTTCAGGATTTCAGCCATGGAGGGTATAAATGATAGACTAAACTCAACAAAGTGGGGCATATTTTAGAGGGCTTGATTATGTTATGACAGGAAAACATTTTCAGAAACTTTGGCCACTTCCTAAAATGCAAGTGAGGTCCAAGTTTAAATTGCTCAGAGGTACATTGTACCTTTTTATATTTGATTGCTATTAAATAACCATCCTATTTGTCATAAGACACTCTCCCTAGAAGAGAATCAGAATTTTGTGTGCATTCTGATCTTTGTGAGTGCAGCCAACATCTCACTGACAAACTTAGATTTTGTTAATCAGCTATAAATACTGATGCAAGTCGGACGATTGTACTTCCTACTACCAAAAGTAACTACTCATAATGAAAAAGAACATTTGTCTTTACAATCTGAATGGGCTATTCATCTGCTGAGTTCAATATTAGCAGTATTTGGCATTAGGGCCCTATTTGATACTGTGTGACTCTTTTCAGTTTTACATTTTTCACATGGGAGGTGTGTCATAAAATCTGCCAGACTTCCAAAGGATTGAACGTGCAGGTTGAGAAGCAGACACCATATATTATAGCACAACTAGAGAAGCACACTGTTTTAGCAGTTGCTTACTTGTGCATATATGCAATGCTCCAAGACACTAATCCATAGGAAGTTAATGGTCAACCCCCAAATAAGTGTTTGGGGCTCAAATAAATGTGACTAAAGTATTAAAATTTTCGTTACTGTATTACTTTTGTGCTCTGTGACTCTCCAAGAGTTATACGTAATGCACAGTATTTCCAAAATATCTAAAATACATCCTTTTCAGGTCATCCCCATTTTTATTCCTATTGATCTCTATCCCTTCAAACTGCTATATTTTTCTTCTTAGGATTGATTACTACTAAATTAGTGTATTTTCTTTCTATATTCACTTAGCATCTATCTCTTTTAGTAGACAGTGATGAAAGGAACTTTGTTTTATACAATGCTATATCCTCAATGCCTTGAACTGTATTTAACATGTAAGAGGCACTCAAAAAATATTTGCGAGAAAATGAATATGTTGGGTGCCTATTAGTTATTATCTATATAACCAACCCACAGCTTTTACTTTTCAGGTGCGCCTAGTGGATGGGAAAGGTGTCCCTATGCCAAATAAAACCATCTTCATCACAGCACATGGATCTGTCTATAAATCCAATGCTACCACAGATGAGAATGGCCTGGCACCATTCTCCATCAACACCACCAGTGTTATGGGCATCTCTCTTACTGTACATGTAAGTTAGAAACAAGTTACCAATGGCATGAAGTAGCCTTGAAAACATGGTTGCAACTTAAAAAGTGATGAAATTTCCAAATTTTGTTTAGTCCTACGGAGAGAGAGAAAACTAGCAATTAGAAACCAATTTAATATCAACTTTTTATGAGTTTATGAAAGAGAGGCA